TTATCATCTACTAAAACGAACATAAATCTTGCTCCACCTTCACTTGGAGGAAAAGGTCCAGCTAAATCAGCGTGTACCAGTGCAAAAAATCTAGTGGATACTCTACCACTTTTTCTAGCAACAGGGGCAGACCTAATCCTAGATTGCTTACATACAGTACAATCAAGAAACTTTGCCCACTTTTTAAATCTCAGTTCTGGATACACCTTGGACATTTCTGACAAACATTTCCATCCAGGATGACCAAGCACTCTGTGATAATAATGAATACAATCATTATGTAGAGGTACATTACCAACACAACTTCCAATCAATACATCTTGTTTAGGAACCATTTCATACAATTGATTAACCAATTCCCCTCTAGCACACTCAGCCCCATCTTTATTAACATAACATTCAGAACCTTGGAACGTAACAGTATACCCAGTTCTAGTTAATGCAGAAATGCTGAGAAGGGAAAAATCAAGTGTAGGAACACAGAGTACATCAGAAACCACTTCCCCCAAACAAGGGATGAAAACTTTACCTTGCAAAGTTACTTTAGCTACAGAACCATCAGCCAAAGCAACTTGCTGAATTCTAGGCTTGCATTTAGTCAGTAATAACTGCTCATTATTTACAGTGATTTCACCGCAAGCAGAGTCCAGTAACCACGTATCAGAAGAATGTGCGTCTCTGTTAGAAATCAAAGCAGATACCAGTCTAGTACTTGCTTGCTGTTTGGCAGGCAGTCCCATCCCACGACGGACGAACTTTCTGGAACTATCAGTTGGCTGATTTTTCTTAGGACAGTCTTTTATGAGATGCTTAGTAGAATTACAGCAAAAACACTTTCTTACCACACATGCAGTCTCTATGCCAGCAGAAGGTCGCTGCCTCACATTATCAAGCCTTTTCTTTGAACTCTGCAATTCACGAGCATTCTGAATTTCCTGTAAGCGATTTATAAGATAATCCACTGTAAGATCAGCTGGCGTCAAAGTCTGCGCTGCTTCAACCAGCATATCAAAGGAATCATCCAAACTCGAAAGAATGATGCAAGCTTTTTGTCTCTCTGGTATTGCCACGTCAT